TTCCAACCACATCTTCCTGCAGGCTTGTGCTCGTTTGTTTTTGGAAACTGCGAGGTGAGGTCTACTCGCAGATTAATAGCAATGGCTTCCAACCTAATTTAATAGCAATGGCCACCTAATAGCGATGGCCTGGCCTCCAACCTATATGTATACATGTTCTTCAATTAATCATTGATGATTGATGAAATATGTGTTGGCCGATTCCTGAATCACAAGCGGAAAGGACATGTTCCAGAAAGTAAGTTGTCCAACAAGCTGAGGCCAGGTCTGTTTGAGTCGAATCCGGAGCGTCAACTTTGCTGTCTCCTGTCACGTTTTGTAAGTAGTTAAAGTCGTTAAAGTTCCTTAAACTTAAAATCAGCTCGTAACCAAATCCTTAGTGCGAGCGCTATCCTGCGTCCAGTAGCTATAGGAGCATGTATAGTAGCTAGGAGCGGGGTTGTACCCCTATCCCCCCTGTGGCTTGGACTCGGACCCCCCCAGGAGAAAAAGAAACGGTCAGGTATGATAAGGGCATTAAAAAGGTCTTCCTTAAAAATTGATTTTGTTCAATTTCAGCCGCATGAGGGGTTCTTCGAATCCTCCCGGATTCTCACTCTCAATCCAAAATTGTACAGAAACTCCTTCTGGTGGAACTCCACGTGGTCAGTCTGCACGGCGTGCAAGACATGCGCTTGCACCTTGAAGTCCACGGATGGATTGCATTTCTCAAGATTCCAAAGATTACTTCATTCCAAGCTCGTCCCAACAATTCGACCATGATGCAGTTGAATGGCACATTGTGGTTCTGAGGTTAAGCCCCGCGGTTGGAGGAGCCGTGAGATCGCTGTCCAGCCGGAGCTTTTTTGACGAGCCTTGCTGCCCTTGGCCTTTTCGGCTCTGAGCATGGAAAAAGTTCATCAACAGGAAAGACTCATGGTCGCAGTGCGCCGCAAAGTGAGTCCATTTGCAACCCGCATCAGCGCAAACCATGGCAGAGGTGTAGCTAATGAAGTCCTAAAGAGCGAGGTGAAAGCCGCTGGCAGCTGACAACGTCAGCAGGAACATGCAAGTCTTGCATGCAACAGGGAGACACAACATGCACATTCAATTGCTTGGCTTTTGCCCTTGCACTTGCCGCGGAGCATCTGGCTGCACTGTGTAGCATGGCATCAAGTGGAACATCAGCAAAGCTGACTCCCACTGGCTGACCTTGCAAAAACTGGTGTTCATCCCAGGTTCCCATAAAAGAACCATTCCCATGCCTTCTCGCAAGCCATCATGGCCGCATTGCAGCAGAAGGCATCTGCTTGCCCAGGTGTAGCATGAAAAAGTCGCAAGGCTGCACGCCACTGACTTCCTCCATCACATGCACTGATTGCACTACCTCAGTGCGCGGTGGCAAAAAGTGCCTACATAATCCTACATAGAGGAATTGCATCACAGTCCCGCTGACCTGTGCAAACAGGGGGGGCATGTGCATGTGCTTATTAAGTTTTCTCTTTTGCGCTTATCTTCGTGTATAGCTTTTTGTTGAGATGCTGATGGTGACGGGGTTCGGTGTTAGGATCCGACTTGGCATCTGCGCTAGCAACGCAATGGTAGAGCGCCATTCACCTCCTCCAAAGCATCAAGCTGTGCCACATGAATGAGTAATTACTGTGCGAAGACTCGGCAGCTCTACGTCTACGTCATTAGATGCAATTACTCTGGGCAAAAGTCCTCCCAGCCAGGCTCTAACACTTCTTGCACAGCCTCCTTCCCACCTTGCTCAAGGGCACTCATGACACTGCCGCAGCTGATGACATCCATCAGAATTTCTGCAGCTCTCATAAGGTGGAGGAGCTCCATTGCCAAATGCCATCTGCTCCCTGCAGCCATTAGCATGGAATCTTCGGATCTCACATCTGCTCAAACAGCACATCTTTGGCTGTAGTTGAAACCTTTTATGTGACCAAGCTTGCTTCCTGTTCATCACGCTTTTCCTGCCCTTTTAGTGACGGTGTGGGCCTCGCTCACAGGCCAAAATCACCCCGCTGTAGCTCACAGCCTGGTTAGTCAGGATTCCTCTCTTGGTCGCATGCAGGTGAAAGAACCAACTTAGGCACTTGCCCCAAAAAGATACAGCCAACGGACTTCATTTCAAGTGATAATCTTGTACTACCGGCATGCCAAGGAGTCCGAGGTCATGACGTCTGGCTGTTTCATCCTCAACAACTCCTCCAACAGCATTAAAGCTAGCTCCCAGTGTCCAGAGTTGGCACAGGCGCTGATCATCGCGTTGTAGCCTTGTCATCAGAGACCGGTCAATACTCCGATCAGCGGCAGATGTTCATTCCCCAAACTGGCTCAAAGGGTTTAGGATGCAGTTCGAGCGAAGGAAAAACATGAGCAATAAGCAATGGAAGCAGCAGAAGCGATCGTAGTGATCCCAACATCCGTTCCTGTTGCTTGCAAACTTATTGTGTACTAATAAGGTCGGCGATGCAATGAGCCTTGCAACACCAGGAGTGTTGTACAAGCACCCTGGCAACTAGTAAGGTTCCAAAGCAATCAAAGCAGCTGATCTTGTCGGCTTTGAGGCGCTTCCGTGGCAGCTCCCTGAACAGTGCAAAAGCATGCTGCCAGCGCCTGGCTTTCTCACATGCGCTCAGGGCAGCATTTTCAGCCACCAGATTTGGCCTCATCCAACCCTCCTTGCGTGTGTCATAAGGAAAAAGCAGGACTCATCAGTACTCGTTTTCCTTGTGACTGTGATATCAACTTGATGTCAAACTGTCAAAGTCCTGCATTGACTGCAGCAAGTGTATGGCTGCTTGCCACCTTGCACGCTTCCTTGCTGAAAATCATTTGAACATCTGCCTTTTTGCATTTTTGTGGGGTTCTCACATGCAATCATAGTGTGTTTGCCGAATCTATGCTTCTTGGAAGTGGACGCCACGCCTCCGATTGTGAACCAAGGGGTGTTGACATGACTCTGGCGCTGCCCCCTAGTGCCGTGACAAATGCCTTCCCGTCCAAATTCCCCAGAGATGGGCCACATAGTCTCTACGTATGTTTGAGAGCAAACCAAGTCGCTCGCAAGCGCTGATGGCACTGCTGATGCAAACGGCATCTCTTTGCACCTGCGAGCAACTTTGGCAGAATTGGATGAAATATGAAACAGGTGGTGCAAGCGGAAAGGCAAGGTTTGCAAGCAGCCAACCTAGAGGCAAGATCGGCTAGGCAACACAACACCTTCTCACAGTCTCCGAATGCAACCAGCCTTCATGTCCGCCATGGTTTGGAGGAGGCCAAGACAAGCTTCCCACTCCCCACTGTTCTTGCATGCCTTCGTCACCAAAGTACAAATAACAAGTCATCTTGTGCTGTCGTCGGCAGGGAGCATGAACGTGGAATGGCACAATGAATGAATGTGCACGCTATTTGGAGGGTGCAAGCGTCTGTAAGTGAACCCCCCTGCTCCTTCTTGCGCCCAAGCTACAGCAATGGCACCGCTGAAGGCAAAGGCATTCACAGCATCTGCCGCCTCCGCCATAGCGAGAAGTGCCAAAGCCTCCACCCAGCAGGCGGCCACCCCGCAGCTGCTCACCGCAGAGCCAAAGGTGAAGACCTTAGTGAGTGCAATCCCGAAATGTTCTTCGTTGCAGTGCACATTCGGGTGCTATGCATGCATTTTTACTGTGTGAAACTGGCATGCATGACTCTGTGGGTTTTTCCAGACTAGCACAGCTAGTACATGGGTGGGCCATTGAGTACAAGTGGACGGGAAGGAGTCTTAGGCTCGCCGTGTCACGGTTTTTGCTATCATTTCTCATGCCTGGTATCAATATACGGTGGATGGAGCATCTTTCTGCAGAACGGACATGCGAACACTTAATTTGCGAGTGGATGTTTTTTGTACTAATTTGCGAGTGGATGTTTTGTACTCGCTCAATTGAATAGCTAGAAAGTGCTAGTAATGGCCCTCCTTAATCTACCATACCCACTACTATGGTTGCTGGGGAGATGGAACTTCTATCTTTCTCTGCGACAACTGACAAGAGACCAAGATATTGTGCCAAAAGTGTATGTTGGGTAAAGGAGGTACTTGATTTGACCATCCGTGGTCCAATTCAAATACAACGATGATGAAACATGGCGTCAAAGAAAGCAGCCAGCTGGCGTTCGGCTGGACATTCCCGCCCTTCATGTCGGCCAGCAATTGAACGGCCAGCATCCACTGTCCTGACCTGAGGGAGGAACTGAAGAGGTCACAAGTATCAGAGAAGATTCAGCGTCTCTGTCCTGAATCTTCACTGAAACATGTTTAATGAACGAAAAGTCTTAGAATTACATCACTGCCCCTAGTAGCGATGGCATCCACCTCAATAGCGATGGCATCCACCCTAGTAGCGATGGCA